AACAGGACCCAAGTCAAGCCCTTGACCCAAGTCAAGGCTTCCGGACAGAAGGACCTGCCGGGTAGAGACCCAGACCCGAGCCCTGGGGATTCCGTGCAGCATCTCATCATCCTCTCTGTGCAGATCCCCCCTGGGCTCCCTCCCCACGTCCTCTATACATGATGCTCTGGGTCCTTCAGTTCCAGGGACAGAAAATGTCTTTCCCCATCTTGATCCCAATCACCATGATCACCTGGGTTCTGCTCCCTCCCATTTCCAGGTAAAGAGACTGAGGCTCCAAACGTGAGTCCCTTGCCCCTGGTCTCCCCCGCAGTAAGTGCCATGCCCGATACCTGAGCCCATGTCTGTCAAATCCAGGGCCTGAGTCTTTATTCATCATACTTATTTGTGCCACCAAAACAATAACTCTGGAAGCCCCACACGGGCCAAGACTGGACAATCACAGTCACAGTGATTGGATGAAAACCTGGTCCTGTGACTCACTCCCAGACAATTAAAGTGAATCATGTCCCATATGTGGGAACCCTGGGAGAAAGGAGAGCTTTCCATTGAAACTGACCACCAGGGACTCATCATTGACACCAAGAGGAAAGGGCTGCCTAAAAAGATGAGTGACACAGGGAAAGGTAAAACCAAAGGGACAGATTGCCTATGACACTGAGACCTGGATCCAGCCATGCCTGAAGGCCACCCTCCCTGGAATATACACTGAATCAATCCCTTTTTGTTTGCTTAGAATAGATGGGGTTGAGTTTTCATCACTCACAACTGAAAGAGACCTCAGCAGGCAGAGAAAGCTGGGACCCATCCACAGTCTCAGCATTTTGGAGTCAGAGCCATGATCGCTATTGCTCTGGGCCTGAGAACAGGCAAGGCTGATGGTCGGCCTGGCAGGTGACCTCAAACACTAAGAGAGCCCACAGCATGACCCTGCCCTCTTCTTTAGAAAATTCCTACTCATTGTTCTAGACTCAGCTCTAGGAACTCCTCCTCCAGGAAGGCTGCCAGCCTGCCCCAGCTGTTCTCTGAACTGTCACAGCCCATCCCCCTCTGGCCCATTCCTGCCCAGATGAACTTGGAGATGACTTTGTCCACATGCATCTCCTAAAGCTTGAGGGTTCCTCCAGCACAGGCCTTGAATTGAGGCCTCCTAGGGTCCAGAGGTGCCCAGAACATTAGGGTAGAGGGAAAGATGGCAGTGCAGGGAGGGGACCCTGAGGTGGGTTTGGTGAGTGAGTACATGAGAGAAAGACAGCAATGGCTGAGAGAGAAGAGGGAAGGAGGGGCTGGGGTAGCGCAGGGGATGCGAGGAAGCTCAGGGGAGGAGGGGCTGGAAGCCCTTGGATGTGCCACGGTGCCCACCACCAGGTGTTCCAGATGGTACCTGAGGCATTGAGGACAGCCCGGATAGCGTCAGGGTGGCACAAAGTGATGATGGGTATAGTGGGGCCCATCCAGGTTGTAAAGGCCTGAGGGTAGGTGGCCACCAGCTGCGTCAGGGCCTTCAATCCTTGCTCAGTGGGGGGAATCTGCAAGCAAGACAGGGTCGTCACCTCCTGTGATGGTTAATTCCAGGCGCCAATGTGACTGGGCTAAGGGTTGCCCAGATAGATGGTAAATATAATTTCTGGGTGCATCTGTCAGGGTGTTTTCAGAAGAGACGAGGAGTTGAATGGGTAAACTGAGGAAGGAAGATCCGCCCTCCCCAGTGTGGCAGGCACCATCCAACCCACTGAGGGACCAGAGAGAACAAAATGGCGGAGGAGGGGACTTGGCTCTGTCTCCCAGAGCTGGGACTTCCACGTTCTCTGCCCTTGGACATCCGAGCTCCAGCTGCTCAGGCCTTCGGACTCGGACCGAGCGACAGCTCCGGCGCCCTGGGTCTCCAGCTTGCAGTCGGCACAGGGTGGGACTTCCCACCCTCCGCAGTCCCCTGAGCCAGTTCTTATGGTAAATCCCCTCGTCTCTGTCCAGACCTCTACCAGATCTGTGTGCCCTGTGGTTGTGTCTCTGCGGAACACTGACTAACACACGTCCCCAGGAGTGGCCACCGCAGGTCCCCCGCAGCCTCTGGAGATGGCGCAGCCTCTGCAGTGACTGGCGTGTGTGGATTCTGCAGAGATGGAGGGGATCTCTGCTTCCTCCTGCTCCTTCTCTCCTCGGGCCATCTCCAAACGCCACAGGTGCGTCCCAGGAAGAGGGAGGGGACGCGATCTCTGTCCACACAGGTGCCACCTTGGCTCCAGAGGAAGGGTTTTCTTGTCCTGGGAGTGGTTCTGGCCTGGGGACAGCCATAGTCCCCACAGAGGGGGTTGTGGGCAGCAGTGTGACCGCAGGACATGTCCCTAAGGCAGGTTTCCACATGCCCTCATGTCCTGCCTGGTGCACGTGGGCTTCAGTTCCTCCCCTGGGGAAGGGTCTGCACCCTGGGGACCTTCCAGCCTCAGCAGACCCCAGGGAGCAGAGGGGAGCTCTAACTGTCCATGTGGACCATGGCTCCCACCTGTGAGCACCTTCTGCAGACCAGGCTGTGCACCCTCCCACTGAGCCTAAGGACACGCCCATTGATCCTGTCATTACAAGTGAACAGGCTGAGGCCACGTCACCCAAAGATGAGACCAGGTCCAAGTCAGAGGGCAAGGTGTGGGGAGAGGGGGTTGGGAAAGGCTCCTGAGAGGGGAAGCGAGCGGCCAACTCTCACGCAGGTTGCACAGCAGGACCCACTGGGACATCTTAGTGGGGAAGAGCAGGGTAAGAGGAGGGTGCCCAGGAAGGGCAGGGGTGGGACACTGTCCCCACCTGTCTTGTGTCCCAGCTGTGCCCCTGTGTGTTTGGGGGAGTGGGGGAGTCACAGCCCAGAGAGGGGCAGACACGGGACATGGGCCAGGCAGGGAGGTCCAGGCAGGGCCACTCTGGACACTGCCCCTCAGGTGGCCTCAAGTCCCGCGGTGGAGAATTGGGAACACCAGGGGTCCCTGCTCTGTGCAGCCCTCCCCGGTAGCCCTCACGGTGCACCAGTGTGGGAAGACAGGCAGGAAGAGGTTGCTGAGCATGCTGGGGTGGGAGGACAAGGAGAGGACAGAGGCCTGGGACGGCACAGCAGAGCAGTGAGGCAGTGAGCAGAGGAGTGAGTGAGCCGCCTCCCTCGCTTCTCTGCCGTCCCAGACCCCAGCCCACCTCCATCCCCGGCTCCCTGAGCCCCTTCCTGTCCTGGGGAAGTCCACCTGCCCTGACACCCCAGACCGGTCCTGCTGCCACACTCACCAAGTCCAGGTGACCCCAAAACCAGTTTGTTTTGGGAGGCTGTGGGAAACTTCGGAGACGGCGGCAGGTGTCATAGAAGGTGTAGGTCCAGGCCAGGACGCGGGCCAGGAGCCAGGAGGCCCCGACCAGCAGCAGCAGCAGCCACGGGGAGGCAGCCAAGGGCCCCAGGCCCAGCCAGGACAGGCTCAGCTGTGGCATCCTGCAGGGCAGATGGGTGCAGGGGGGATCCTGAGGCCCAGGAGAGGGAAGGGGGCTCTGGGACCAGGGCAGAGGGGGCGGGAAGGGGCAGGCTCAGAGATGGGTAAACAATGCCCGAGAGCTGAAGTCCAGAAAGGCCCAGCCTGAATTGCAGGGAGGCTGCCAAGGCTCAGTTTCCAGGAAACCACCATTCCCAGGGCCACATCCCTGGAGGCTCCCCAGCTTGGGCAGCCCCCCCTCACCCAGGCTGGGACCCTCCAGGGCCACCACCCCCAGCCTGGCACCTTCTCTCAGGAGCTGCTTGTCCACACAACCTCCTCTTCGCCCTGCTGGGCGGTCTTTGCCCCTCGGCCTTAATGAAGAGTGTCTGGGCTGGGCTGGGCCACGCCAGGGCAGGCGGCCAAAACATGGGGCAGGGAAGCAGCTGGGTGCAGGGGAACTAGCTCAGCATGACACAGCACCTCCCAGGTGGGGTGTGGGGGTGAGTTGGGGGTGATCAAAGGTGACTCTGAGCCCCAAGGTGTACGGTCACCCGTGCTATGGCTTGAGATGTGACCAGTAGGAGCAGGAACAAAGAATCCAGCCTCCCTGGGGGTTACCCGGGTCAGGTTCTGGCATGAAGCGCCCAGCTGCAAGGGCGAAGCTGGAGGCTGGGCTCAGTGTCCGAGGACAGAGCAGAGAACTGGAGGGTGGGGCTGAGAGGGGCCGTGAGCACACGGGGTCCAGTCAGGGAGGGCAGAGCCATGGGACCCTGAGTGGAGTCCTCGTGCTGCCTCGTCCTCGCTCTGACTGTGGGCAGTGCCGGCCAGCTGGGCTCAGTCTTCCCATCTGGGCAATGGGATGCTGGGTGAGAGACTTAGAGGCGGGGACAGGGGAGAGCTGCACAGAGGAGGGAGACCCAGAAAGAGGGAGTCAAGGGAAGGTGCTAAACACTAGCACTTGAGCCGCTGCGGGTCAGTGCTCTGCTCTGTGCAAAAGACCGTACGTAACGTCCTTCTACTGTGTGCCAGTGCTGTATCTAAGTGGCGCCTACTGCGTGCCAGGTGCACTGTATAATGTGCATTTACCTGGTACCAGGTAATCTATATAAATCTTTTTATTTACTGTGTGCTCTTCATAAAGTGCACCTACTGTGTGTTAAGCACTGTACATAAAGTGCACCTACTGTGTGCCAGGTACTCTCAATAAAGTGCACTTACTACGTGCCAGGCACTCTCCCTGAAGTGTGCCTACTGTGTCTTAGGTACGCTATATAAATCCAGTTTATTTATGCAGGTGCCCTATATATACACCTACTGCGTGCCAGCTATGCCACCTAATGCACACCTACTGTGTGTCAGGTATGCTACATAATGTGCATCTACTGTGTGCCAGGCACTGTGTATAACATGTGCCTACTGTGTGCCAGGTACTCTACATAAAATGGTCCTTCTGTGTGTCCTGTGTTCTAAATAAAGTAAACCTACTCCGTGCAAAGTACTTGACATAAAGCATGCCTACTATGTGCCAGATATGCTAAATCAAGCACACCTCCTGTGTGCCAGGTACACTACATAACATGCACCTACTGTGTGCCAAGTGCTCAACATAACGTGTGCCTACCGTGTGCCAGGTGCTCTACCTAAACTTTGCCTGCTTTGTGTCAGATGCTCAGCTATGTCACAATGCCCAAAGCCTTCCCACCACCTTCCCCTTAGCTTTCAGGGTCAGACCTTGTGGATTGGGTGACGAGACCCAAGTGACAGCATCCAGAGGAAGGAAACTGCCCTTTTAACAGAAGAGCAAACTGAGGCTCAGAGAGGGCAAGCCTCTAGCCCAAGTCACAGAGCTCAAAGGAACTCAGGTCTATCAAGCCTAATCTCTTTCTCTCTGCCACACTATTCCATCACCTTTTGTTGTAGACAAAGCCATATTGGTTCAGAGACGTCTATAATGGTGGAATCTCAGGCAATGCGGTGGCCCCAGAAGTGAAATATCCTGAGGCCCTTGTGTCACCACCTGCCTCCTCCTCCCACACCCAGGATGCTCCACCCAGGAATCTAGTGCTCCCCTCCGAGCCTCCCCAGATCCTGTCCAGAATTGCCCTGTGGGGTGGTCTCA